CAAAAGCACACACTGGTATGGTTCCAGCTATACAAATGAAAAAGAAAATGTACAGATATGGAACATTCTCCATCATATATTATGAAATGAAAATAGCAAGGTGCATAACTCTAAAAGGTGTGTTATCTTTTTGTAAGAAAAGGGAAAAAATACGAAATGAAAATGTATACAGTAGTAGTGAAAATATACACAAGAAATTAATATGGGATTTCCCTAATAGGGTGGACAAAGAAAAAGACAGGAGCAAGACTCAGAGGGATACATTTGATATCTTCTTGATTTTTAAACCAAACAAATGTATTACCTACCCAAAAATTTCAATTAAATTTCAAAAGTAATTTACCCACAAGAAGTTGAACTTATGCCTTCCTCAACTCTTCTCTGCCTTGGCGTCCTTCAAGGACCATATCATACAGCACTTCCTTTATGTTGCCCCTTTATGTTGCCCCAACTTGTTGCTTGTCACACTAGTACACCACTTCTCACAGTGAGTTGGGTATTTGTCTTCCCAGGAAGCTGATCTTCAGAGGAAGAATGATTCATCTTTTTAATCACCAGCTCCTCTCACAATGTCAGGACTTAGGCCCCTCAATATATTTTTTAAAAAATATACCTCAAGTGCACTGAATCAAATCAATCCTAATCCTCAGATCATGGAACACTGTCATTATTCTACAATGCATGGCTCTTTTTAAAAATTTATTTTTAATAATAAAGTGAACATCCATGGACCCACACCAAACTGAGAAATAGAACACTGACACCAAATGTTTATGTAGATGCCTCTTCCCTAACCCTTCCTTTGCCTTCCTGAATCTAGACATAGACCTTACAACCTTCACAAAAATTAACTCAAAAATGGATCATAGACAATACACTTGTCACCATCTTGTATGAAGGCTAGCCACATCAATTTTCCTGTCCTCCGTCATCATGTAGCCCACAAAAGTCTAGACAGTCCTGACATCCCAGAACATCATACTGGGCTACAACATGCTTATGGATCTGATAAACAGGTAGCAAGTATGGTAGATGCTTTCATAATAAGACATGCAAGCCACAGCACAGGATATAAGCCCCCACCAAAATGAAGGGGCCTGCCACCTCAGTGGCTTCTGGAGGTCCATCCCTTGCAAAGTGAAAAGATATGTTGCTATCCTTCGCACTCAAATAACCGAAAAACAAAACCCACAATGTTTGATAAGCCCTTATGAATTCCAGAGGCCATTTGATGTACTACGCTGGCCCCGTGAACAATTAACCTGTAAGGCTGTCAGTTGTCACTAGGGAACACAGAAAAGGTTCTGCAGCAAGTTCAGGCTGTAGTACAAAAACAGTGCAAGATCCCAGCAAATCGGATGATACTTAAAGAGACTACGGCTAATAAATATGTTGCATGAAGTCTCTGGTAAGCCTCAATAAGAGAATCAGAGGGTATACCTCCAGTGTTTTATAGCAAAGCTATGCTCTGCTAGAGCCAGAATGCCTGACCATGGGTAATCAAGTAACCAGGTGACCCAAATTGCCTAAAATTAACGGGTTTTATCTGACCCATCCAACCACAGTATGGCACAAAAAGCAGCATTCATCACTAAGAGGAAATGTTATAGAAATAAGTAGGCTGAAGCAGATCTGGAAGATAAAAGCTGCATAAGCAGGTAGCTCAGACTCCTTTAATATGAGATACTGTACACAGTATGTGATACTGCTTCTCCTCACTCGATCCACACCTATGGCCTCAGATACGGCTGCTTATAACCAGTTAACTGAGGAGAAAAAGATTTAGGCCCGGTTTCCAGGTGTTTCTACAGTACATGCTAGCACAAGCCAGAAGGTGACGGCTGTAATATTACAAGTCCAATCAGGACAGAATGAAAAAGGGAAAATTTCCCCAAGGATGGGGGTGGGAAGGGGCACAGAATTTTAACAATATATACAGTTGTTTCCTTCACTTAGAGAGGGCCAAAACTAGAATCCATTCAAGGACAGTGGTTAAAGGCTTGATTGGATGGTTAAAGACTTCAAGAGAACATAATAGGATATATGACAAAGTCTAGGGAAGCAGCAATGTGAATGAACTCCTAACATTATACAGAGTGTCCCATGTGAATACTCACAAAAGGCATCTACTTGTAGAAGAGAATCTCAACGATGAGATGGACAAGAGAATACATTCTGGAAACAAGTCTCTTTCCCTGGCAAACCCAGTGCTTCCTTTCATGTAAAAATGGCCATATGGCAAGAAAGAAAGCTTGTATGAGCTCAACAACATGGACTTCTCACCAAAGCTGTTTTGGGTACCTCCATTATGTAAGGCTTAACCTCTCAACCACAAAGTCAAAGTTGAGTCCAAATATGGACTAGCCAACTACTCAGCAGCAGGTGTATTACATCAGACTGACTGTTCATGAAGGAGACACTCATATTCTTAGAATGGCATTATGGAATACATGTTCACCATTATTGCATTCCACACATTTTCTGTTCAAGAAACTCATTTCACAGCAAAATAGGTCCAGCAAATGGGCTTATGCCCATGACTTTCACAATATCATCATATACCTCTCAAACAGAAAAAGAACACTCTGCAATGCATTTTATGAAGCCAGCATAATAATCTGAATACCAAAACATGACATTAAGAAAGAAAAATTTTAGATCTCATTCCATTCACCAAAACAGAAAATCCTAAACAAAACATTAGCAAACCAAACCTAATATTATATAAAGAGGATCTAATATATCACATTAAAGTTAGGCTTATTCTGAGATTACAAGGTCTGTTTAATACTTAAAAACACAATTAACATTTACAAAATAAAGTAATATTTTAATAGAAATAAACATCAATTCATGATTTTTTTTAAAAAAGAATCTTTTAGGAATGGCTTAATCTGTAGAGTATCCATTTTTTTTTTCAATTCACAGGAAGCCTCATATTGATAAATTATACTTTTCCACTATGAGATCAGGAATAAGACAAGAACGTTCATTCACTATTATCAATTCTAAATATAACTGTATTAGAGTTCTTAGCCAAAAATATGTAAAAGAGCCTGGGTGGCTCAATGGGTTAAAGCCTTTGCCTTTGGCTCAGGTCATGATCCCAGGGTCCTGGGATCACCCGCATCAGGCTCTCTGCACAGCAGGGAGCCTGCTTCTCCCCACCTGCCCTCTGCCTGCCTCTTTGCCTACTTGTGATCTCTGTCAAATAAATAAATAAAAATCTTAAAAAAAAATGTAGAAGAAAAAAAGGTTTAAAGATTATAAAGGAAAAAATAATCCTGATTTCGTACAGAAAATTCAAAAGAATCTACAAATTTTTAACACATATATGATAGTTCAGCAAGTCTCTAGTCAAGTATATTTCTGTATACCAAAAAGAAAATGAAATCATTTACTATAGGATCAGATACTAGCAAACACTAAGAAAACTCTAATGAAAAATATGCAAGACATACACACACACACACACACACACACACACACATTATTTAAATAAATTAATTTCAATAAATGGTGGGATATACCATGCTCAGGGATTAGAAAATTCAACGTTGTAAAGATGTCAGTTCTTCCCAAATTAATTGACTCATAGCTTCTATGGAACTTGATAAACTGATTCTAACACATATGTAGAAATGTGAGGAGCCAAGTATATCCATTACAATGGTGAGGAAAGAAAGTGATAGAGTTTGTCTACTGACTATCAAAACTTACTCCAAAGTTAGGAAGGTATAAAAGTTTAAAAATGTTGAACTTTAAAAATCAAAGTATGGCACTGAAAAAAGCAGTAGTTCCATAAAGTCCCACAAAGTGAATACTTGTATATACTGCCTTTTTTTTCTTGTCCCAGTCACACTTCAACAAGGTATCTAACCACTCTTACTGCTTAGCTCTTGTACTATCTCCTGGGCTTCTTTTTTGCTATTTTCTCCAAAAATGTTTACAATGTGGACTTCTGAATGGCAAATCTTAATGTTTTTATTAAGGCTCTCACATTTGAATAACAACTTAAATAGATGTAAAACTTTAGGTCCAGTACTTTAGAAGGTTTTCTTACAGCCAGTTTTGCTCTTGAAAAGCCTGAGGTCAATCTGATTCTTGTTCTTTATACAAGAAAAAAAATTTTTTTATGAGAAAACTTTTTAGATTTTTCTCATTATCTGTAATACTCTTAAATTTCAGTATGTGTCTAGACATGGGTACTTTCCTCTTCTTTGATACTTTATGGCCCTTTCAATCTTCAATTTTTTTCTTATCCTGGACCCCTTTTGTTACTCGAATGTTGGCCCATGAACTTCTGTCCTTCATCTCACTTAAATCTGTATCCATGTTTGCTTTTCTCTTCTTCTTCCTTTTTTTTTTGTTTTGTTTTGTTTTGTTTTGCTTCTTTCTGGGAGGGTCTCTCAATTTTCCAACTCACTAATTTATTCTTCAGCTGTATTCATTCTTTTTTTATTCCATTTACGTTATTTTAAATACTATGGTTTTTATGTTTCTACTTGGGTCATTATTTCTTATTCTTGTATCACATTGCTATAGTCTTCCCTTTATTTCTTTTAATGTTTATGGGCTTAATTTTAGAGCCTAATGGTCTTATGTAATGGGAGTTTTCTTTTGAACCAGTGGCACCTCTTAACCACTTTACTTTGGCCTATGAACTCACTTACCTAGTAGTGCGGGCTCTTCTGAGTGATAGTATGCTCTGGGGAAAGGCTGAGGCCAGCCCTCTAGGCTATGTTGGGGGTTCAAAGAGAGGGAGGAAGATAAACCCCTATGGTGGATAGTCCCAGCACTACAAAAACCACTGTAAATTATTTCAGTTTGTTATCTACCAAGTAACCCTTCAGATCAGAGCTCCCTCTCAGACACCATGAGAGAAAGGGCAATTTTCTAAGGCACTTCCTAAAGTCTAGGGCCGACAGCGTAACCCACCAGTCCTATGAGTCTGGAGGGGGAGGAGTGAACAAATAATGCACAAGCTAGTCAAACCTTACCTGTTTTCCCCAAATCTTCACCCAAAAGGGCTTTTTGCTGCCAGATTTTATCTGTGAAGAAGACACCTGCAGGAGAGGTCTGGTTCACTGTACTAGTACCTGCTGTGAGAAAGCAGGCAAAGGCAACTGGTTTTCTCTAATGAATCTACTCACAGACATTCAGCCAGCCACACCCCCACCAAGAACCACTTCGAAAACAGCTCCCATGTCTCCTGGGAGTTCTACTTTTTTTTTTTCTTTTAATCATTATCTAAACATACTAAAAGAAACATTCTAATCAAAATTTAACAGAATTTACATAGCTTTATTTATACATTACTGGTATTGAAAGCAAACTTTATACAAAGTTTTATACATGTAAAAAAAAAAAAACCCTTGGCTAGGCAAAGCCATGTATGTGTGTGTACACACACAAACACACATACACACACACAAAGTATTTTACATCATTGTAATTATACATATTTACATATACACTATTTAAATTATTTTACAATTTATCAAAATGAGAGGCAATTAGAAAAGCAAATAAAAATGGATGAAAACAAACTAAATAATTGTTTAAAATGCTACAAAATTATTTTGAAAAATCTAGAAAAGAAAGCCGTTTTTCTGAAATATCAAAACTAAAGTTTCAATGCCATTTCGTTGTTGCTTTTATCTTAATAACAAGATCTGTTTAAAAATAAATATCTTGACCAGTAACAAGTGAGCAAATCAGACTGATGACTGGAACAAGCTAAACCTGCTGACTTAAGATTCAAGAGTCAGCGAGTAATAGTAAATGTAGACTTTTATCTAGTAATCAAATACGCCATAAAACTGCCCTCTACTTCCCCATTTAAAACATGAGGAATTCCAAGCTTCTGTGTAGTATACAATATCAACTAAGACTCCAAGGAGTTCAGCAATTTATCTGTAAGAAAATGCTGACATTATGATTCTATTTTTCTGATAGGACCCTTTCATAAGGTGTTGTTCTTTAAATGAGTTCACTCAGATATCAGCATTAAAAACTAGCTTTTTACAGAATTAGTTTGGTAACTTTATTCCTATATTCTGATTTTGACAAGAATTTAATAAGACCATAGTACTTAGGATGGAAAAAAATAGTTAAGAGACAGCTAGAAATAAAATAACCTACAGTTTTTGCTATCATGCAAGCAAATAAAATTTCAAATATCAAAGCCATTAAGATTTTAGATTTGTATTGGAACTAAGAAGCATAACTTCCAGGAACGAGTTAATTCTTTCATGAATGTGTATTATCTCCACAAGAGAATGGAAGTCACATTTTAAGAGAATATTCAGGTAAAATAAAACCTCAGCTGAAGTTCTTAAACACAGTGAAAATTTTAAAGCACAGTAAATCTGAAAAAGAATCAGGCCATTTCGGAAAGTTCTTAATAAGCTTTTTCCATTTAAATACTCCATTACTCAATCTTACATTCCGGTATTATGTAAACAGGATTTTAACATCACAGTAAACTGCTAAATATCTTCTTAAAATCTCATTAGCAAATAAGTTGCTTAGAGAGGATACTGAAATTAACAGATTATCTCAAGATAGTACCTTACACTGGGTCCAGAAATAGATTTAAAACTCAAAAATATTCAGGATGCTTCATATTAAGACCTATATCCAAATACAGTTTCTATTCAGATTTAATTTGAACTGAATTTGAAATTAATTTGAAATTCAGTGTTCTGTATTCAAATAATTATGATTACAAATAAATTGAAAAATAGCGATAGGTTACATATCTTTATAATTTTCCTTATGTAAAGGTCCAAAATATCTAAGCAATTGTTTCGGGTCTTACAGAAAAAAACCCTGCTGATAATTACTGCCTTAATAAACCTGTACAGGAATGGCTTAAATAAACGGAGGAAACATGTCTGTGAACATTATTAATTTAAATTAACGTAGTAAATCGTGTCATCTATTCAGATGACAGTGGATTTCATGTTTATGAATGACGTATGTTCTATATTCCAAAAGTATTTAGTACTAATTAAAATTTGAAAAATATTAAATTACAAAAACAACAGATTTCATTAACGGTGAAATATATGCTATTGAAAAATGTTTTATTTTTCTTCATCTATAAAAGATTTTTTTATTAACCAACAAATGCATTTCCTCTCCATCTTAGACTCATCAGCCATCAGAAGGTTGAAAAAAAATGTCATATGGTATGTGAATTACACTTAAGAGAGAGTTGAGAGATGCCATGCTGACCTGAACTGCAGCAGGTTTCACTCTGAGCAGGTCCCTGTGGACGAGGTGACCTTAGAATCCTGCATGAGCAATCATCCTCCAACCTGTAACTGAAGCAGGGACTCAACTGGATGTTTCTCATCCACTACTCGCATCTTCAGTGACTAACAGGCCCTTAACTGCACAGTAAGTAACAGTATCAAACATTTACTTTACTAGTCTCCTGTAGCAGAACCATTAACTACCTGCATTTTGACTTTTCAAAGAGCTTCATTAGCTGCTGGAATCTTTCTGAGACCTGAAAAATTTTAAAGGAGTGTTAATTACAGATATCTCAATAACAGTTTTTTATCTGTGATTAATATTTTCATAAAACATCTAGAGAAAGAGAAAATAGCCCTCAATAATAAAGACATGAAGTAATGTTTGGAAAAATTATCTTCATACTAAAGGTGATTACAGGTTTAATTTTTTGACATTAAACTTTCTTAAACAAGCAAACATCATTACAAGACAGCTTGAGATCAAATAGGTAAATGGTAAGACAATAGGAAAAAAGATTAGAATTGTTCCAAACTTCTTCCATAATCACCAAGTTTTTATTTTACTTTTTTAAATTTTAATTTCCTTAAGTAATCTCTATGCCCAAAGTGAGGCTCAAACTCACAATCCTGAGATAAAGAGGCATGTGCTCTACTGATTGAGCCAGCCAAGTGCCCCTTACTAAGTTTTTAACAGTTATACATGAAGAGCCATACTGTTAAAGAAGTTAGCTAATAAATATCTACATATTTTAAGCATGACAAAAGTTAAATCTATTTATAGTAGCAACACTTGTAAAAACCACAGAGATGCAAAAATTGGGTAGTTACCTGATACGGATCTTTTTTCAACTTGGCAGCTAAATAAGAAAATATTTTCAGTGATGGCCCTCTTTTTTGACACTCCAATAAAATTTCCCGGTCATCATTTCTGAAGAGAGAATAATGGTATTTGTTTAGCCTTTGCATATTAGAGCCGAAAACTAACAAAAATTCCACTGCCTTAATGTCTACAACAGGAGGTGACATTTTTATTAAAACCCACAGAAAAAAGAAAAATGTATATACCAAAATATGGACAATGATGATCTCTGAGAAGTATTATGGATGATGTTTGGGCTCACAGGTATTTCCCAAAATTTTCTAAAACAAAGTTATTTTTCTAATGACAAAATTAAAGATTTTTTTTCCGAAATTCTCTCTTTAATTGTGGAGTACTTTTAAAACCAGGGCCCAAACATGATCACAGTCTTAATAAGCAGCAGCACCAAAAGTAAAATGGAATCCAGATCTTCTCATTGCCAGACCTGTTTTTCCACATGGTCTGAACCAGAGTGTGTTGTTATACTGAGATCCTATTCTGCCATCTGTAAATTACCTAGAAGGAAGGCATGGAAGACTGTGATATTAAACAAAACTGGTCACCAGGAAGTTGCTTGCTACAGAGCTCCCTCAGACCTTTGAGCACATCTGGGGCCTGAGGTTAAGAGCAAAAGCAAAGAGACAGTTTCTGGAGACTTGAGCTAAGTTCAGGGTGACAAGGGAGAGAAGACGTGGGGCTCTCAATATATTAGGGAGGCAGGCTCTCCACGTGTTCCCAACACCAGCTGTTCCCCAATGTGCATGCCCCCAGACTGCACTTTAGAGGCTGGTGGTGTTCTGTGGTAGCTAGTGTTTTGGTTAAAATAAACAAATCTCTTACTTAAAAGATAAAATACAATAAAATTAAGTAGAATAGAATAAAATAAAATAATAAAACTGGTCACCAATTTCAGTATGATTGAGTTTCCCTCATTATGCACACTAGATAAGTCTGGGGAGCAATGAACCTCTAGTCCAGTGGTTCACAACTTCAGTTATATTTGTGTCTGAAATGGGGTCTTTAAATCTGCATTTCTTAAAAGTTCACATAGGAATCCAAAGTGCAACCTATTAATGAAACTTTTTTCAAACTCCTAGTTTAGGGGAGAATACAAATTACAAAGCCTCACACTTTCTGCCCTATCTCACACCACCTGTCCTTCTTCCTTTCTAAAATGTGACTATTGGGGGAAGGGGGTAGCGCCTGGATGGCTCAGTCAGCAAAGGGTCTGCCTCTGGCTCAGGTCATGATCCCAGAGTCCTGGGATCAAGTCCCACAGCAGGCTTCTTGCTCAGCAGGGAGTCTGCTTCTCCCTCTGCCTGCAACTCCCCTTGCGTGTACCCCGCCCCCCGCCGCTGACAAATAAATAAAATCTTTAAAATAAATAAAATATTTTTAAAAATAAATAAATAAAATAAAAATAAAATTGGTTATAGGGCACCTGGGTGCCTCAGTTGGTTAAGCATCTGCCTTCAGCTCAGGTCATGATCCCAGGGTCCTGTGATCGAGCCTTACATCAGACTCCATGCTTAGCATGAGAGCCTGCTTCTCCCTCTTCCTTTGCTGCTCCCCCTGTTTGTGCTCTATCAAAGAAATACATAAAATCTTTTTTAAAAAAATAAATAAAATGTGGTTATGCTAGGGCACCTGGGTGGTTCAGTGTTTTGAGCATCACACTCAATTTCGGCTCCAGTCAGTCTTGGGGTCGTGGGATCGAGCCTGACATCAGGCTCTGCACTCAGCACGGAGGCTGCTTGTCCCTCTGCCTCTGCTCGTCCCCCTGCCTCTGCTCGTCCCCATGCTCACACTCTCTTTCAAATTAAAAAAAAAAAAAATAGATAAAATCTTAAAAAAATAAAAAATAAAATACAATGTGGTTATACCAGTTCCTTACAAATCAAAGAATTTT